TAGACTTTCGTATTTTCCGGCCAAGGAAGGATCTTGGGTCGCAGCTGTGGCAGGAGTGACCGCTGTTGCGTCTCTAAATGCGGGTCACTACATCCACACACACACACACATGTATTGTTTATAACATATATATTTGTAAAGATATGCATACAGTATATGTATATATATGTGTGTGTGTGTGTGCGTGTTTGCGTATGTCTAGGTTTATTTGATTTTAATGGTATTCATTTGCAATTTCCCTTTTAATACAGGTGGAAGACACCGCTACTTTAAATGTTTTATTGGGAGAAGACGAAACAGGAAATACTGATAACGTTTATTATTGTTGTGATAGTATATAAAAAGATATGCAAAAGATTACTCCTCTCTCTCCGCCTCAAAGACCAGCCTCCTCCTCGCGAAGGGCGTCTCGGACCTGCGACCGCCAAACCGCCTGGTCTTCCGCACTTCCCTTCCTCCAGGCCACTTCTTTCAACACCGTGCTGGTTATTCCGATATGTGGTGTACATAGTAACATTTCCATCACATAACATATTGGTTGACGTTGCAAGAATCAGAGAATCACCAGAAGTAGATTTGGACTCGGTGAACTTTGCAAAAGGTCAAAGTTTGAAGACGATAACCTGTCGCTCAGTTCCATGTGTGGAGAAACAAAGTGCAGAAAACTTGTTGAAGTGTTCATCGTGATCAGGCTTGTCATAGTGTTATGAGATGTGGAAAGATCTGACTTATATTAAAGTTCTTAACATATGATTCTATGGGCAGATGAGGTCATGCGATTAAAAGGTCTATAAATATTAGTAGGTATTTTGGGAATGGGGAAGTTTGTTAGGATTTGATGGGCAGATGAGGTCGCGCGGTTTTGAGATTACAGATATCATTAGTAGGTATTTTTCGGCTCTCAGGAAATATTGATATGATTTCTCCTTGTTATTGAGATACTAAGATTTTCAAGAGAAAATACACTAATGCGTTATTATTCAGCGTTCCTCAAGGATATTTATTAAGCGCCATTCGCCACGTAAGGGATTCCGATATTTTGTAAAGTTTTGTTATCTAATAAGAAAAATAACATGATGAATCCAGAAATTATGGTGTTTATCTTTGATAAATCTGAACCTTGAGAGACGAAGACAGTAAAATCCCAAGAAATCAAGAGCTCGATCAACTTGATCTTCGTGCTGTAATGCCGAAGTGAACTTATCAATTTGAACGCTTTAGTCTACCATAGTCTTTTATTTGCTTTGTTCTTACCTGCAATTTGAGTGTTTTCATACAGCAATTTTATTGTTTTGATATATAAGAGAGATTCTCTAAACTATAAGAGGGGACCGTAAATGAGATGAACTCTTTGATGTAGTTTCTGTTTATGAACTGATGCATTGTTGATGTTATTTTTGTAGATAATTCGCAATGCCTTTAAAGGCATCACAATATAGCTATTCATGCCCCGAAGCATTCCTTTCGCACTTGAGCTTCTGTCAGCTGGACACAGGTACAGTCAGTTCTAAGCTCTCTGTATCTTGGCTGGGCCAGTTGAGTGAGATTTGCGAAGGCGGCGTCCTCGAAACTCTTGCTCATGGACCGACCACGAGTCCAGTGCAGTGCCAAAATTCTTGGCAGCGGTGGGATTCGAACCCACGCCTCCGAAGAGACTGGTGCCTTAAACCAGCGCCTTAGACCGCTCGGCCACGCTACCTGCAAAACCAGAGGAATATCTATATTCAAAAGATAAAGACAAAGTGCTTCGTAAAATTGTGATACCATGATTTTATCGCTTCACCCATTGGTCTCCGTAGATACTAGATAACATTGTTATACATGGTGACATATTATCTCCTAATTGTTTATCAATTAGAGTAAAAACTAAAGTCTGCATTATTCATACTGTCTATTTTCAGGTGTTCAGGTTTAATTTCTCCAAGCTTAAAGAATAGTTTTGTTCATGCAGTTCCATTTCGAAACGGTTGGATTTCATTTCTTATTGTGATTGTTTTCCTTTCACCTTTGCGTACATGCTACTGTGTTTGTGATTGAGTCCATATGTATGTATGCACAAATGTATGCATATATGTGCGCACGCGTTTTGTTATTTCGTTTGTCACTACATTTGTATAATCATTTTATATCAAATCCGTTTCTTATAAACAGCCGATCTCAAAAGTTATTTAGCCAAGTTCATAGTCCAGGTGCCGTATTATCCATTCTTCAGTCATTTATTAGTAGTACAATTCACTGTATATGCAGAGACACACGCGGACAAGTGTGATTGACGAACAAGTACCATCCAGCAGCCGAAGATGATCGTCCCGGGCGATCCGGACCTTAATAACCGTTAGGTCCGATTCTAACATGGTAACAAAAAGGAAAAAGAGATATACACTGGGTGTCGCCCCCCTACTTTTTACTCTTTAACTTCCATTTAACTTTCCATTTTCTCACTACCTTCACCACCCTCTCTCCTTCACTTCATTTTCTGCTGGATTGGTTGGCCGAGCCTCTATGAGAGCGCGCAAAAGACCATGTCTTTGCAGGCCGATTCCATTTTGCCTGTCCCTGTACCTGTGCTGGACACAGGTACAGTCAGTTCCAAACTCTTTGTATCTTGGCTAGGCCAGTTGAGTGAGATTTGCGAAGGCGGCGTCCTCCCAACTCTTGCTCATGGGCCGGACACTGCTCCAGTGCAGTGCCAAAATTGTTGGCAGCGGTGGGATTCGAACCCACGCCTCCGAAGAGACTGGTGCCTTAAACCAGCGCCTTAGACCGCTCGGCCACGCTACCTGTGAAGCAATGATGATTTCTCTACAATAAAAATATATAAAAATAAAGCGCTTCGTAAAATTGTGATACAATGCTTTTATCGCATCACTCATTGGCCTTCGCAGATACTCGATAACATTGTTATGGATGATGGCAGCTTTATCTCTAAATTGTTTATCAGTTGATTTTAGTAAGAACTAAAGTCTGCATTAAACAGCCTGTTCAATTTCAGGTATGTTCAGGTTTAATTTCTTGCAGATTAAAGAATAGTTTCGTTCATGCAATACAATCGCTTTATTTGGTGTTTAGTCCGGCAGCTCGATTTCGAAACGGTTTGATTTCATTTCTTATTGTGATTGTTTTCCCTTTCACCTTTGCGTACATGCTATTGTGTTTGAGCTCATATGCATGTATGCACATGTGTGCGCGCGCATTTTGTTATGTAAATTTCAGTTTATAAACACTATTTTGTATGTCACTACTTTTGTAAAAATCACCTCAAAAGTTTTTTAGCCCAGTTACTTTAAGTCCCGTTCATAATCCAGGTGCCGTATTATCCAATCCTAAGTCATTTATTAGTGTCTGTATCTGTATTGTATCTGCAGGGACACACGCGAATAAGTGTGATTGACGAACAGGTACGTGTCGGCCGTCCAGCAGCCGAAGATAATCTACCCGGGCGATCCGTTCCCTAATAACCGCAAGAAGTGTCGCTTGGCCGATCCTAACATATAACACACAAGAAAAATACAAGGGCTGTCGCCCCCTACTTTTAATCTTCATCTTACATTTCCATCACTACCTTCTCCACCCTTCCCTCTTTCACTTCTTTACTTCATATTTTGATGGATTGTTTAGCCGAGCCTCTGTCAGGACGAGCAAAATGCCATGTCCTTGCGGGCCGATTTGTTTTTGCCTGTCTCGGCGATCCTTGGTATCTGGAAGGAATTAGAGCTAAACATCTTAATTTCATCTCTCTCCTATTAATATTGTCACTCTAAGCATTGTGTCATTTGTGCTATCTAAGACCAATGAATGATAGTATGCAGTAAAATAATTGTGTCAATTAACGAAGCGCTTCATTTTTATAACAGTGCATTGTGAACAATATAGATGGGTTTTTATTACACTGATTGCATCGAGGTGACTCTTTGTCTGATAATAGAATTTTTTAGGTTTTTAGAAAAGGGAACTAAGAATTTCTGTCAAGAGCTGGATTTCTGCATGAGGTGAAGCTGGTAAAAGATCGTGTGTTGTGTGTATGTTTGCGTTTGATTCTTTGTTTTCATTATTATCATTTGCAATTTCCTTTTAATGCATTGCTTCTTTAAGCATGTTTATTGGAGAAGACGAAACAGGAAATACTGATATATACGTTATTTTTGTTGTGTGGTAATAAATAAATATGCAAAGATTACTCCTCTCTCTCCGCCTTAAAGACCAGCCTCCTCCTCGCGAAAGGCGTCTCGGAACTCGCACGCCAAACCGTCTGTCTTCCCGCTCTTCCTTCCTCCGACAGGACCGCTATCTTTCAAACACTGGTTATTCTTTAAGGTGTACGCTTAGTACTATCCAACATCCATATGGCCTCACGACAGGCTTTGATCAGCTTCGATGACTTCACAAAATGATGTGGAAAGATAAGGTGCAGAAATTAGAATGTGTTGCAGTCACAGTCAGAGAAGTCAAGATCTGACTTATATTAGAGTTTGAGATGAAGGATCAAGACATGAAAGGTGATGTGTGGACTCAGGTAGTGATGGAGAAAAAGGTAGAAATTGAATGTTGATGTGATTCGTGGGTCAGATGTGGACGCGCGCGCGGTAATTGTGATTAAGGAAATAGATGGTAGGGGTATTGATTGGAATTGGGATGGTTGAAGATGTGGTTAAGATTGTAATGTGGGCTCTTATATGATATGATAGGTATTCGTGTTGTATCAAGCTGAACTTAAGGAACATGAGTCTCAGAATTGTGTGATTATAAAAAGTATGAATATTGTTGAGATAGGATATATTAAGGATAGTAGGGAGGTTATAAGGAAGGATATATATATGGATATATTTGTAAAGGATATATGTACATATAGGAGAACAACATACATAGAAAGGATATAACGTTATAGAATGGGCTTAGTATAATGAAAATAGCGAGTATAATAAGTAATTTATATGATAAAATATACGTATATAATAAGTATATATATATATAATATTAGTTTTAATCATATATTTATATAAGAATATATATAGTATATATATATATATATATTACTTATATATACTATACGTAGTAATGAATAGTACTTAGACAAACTATATATAGTAATATATAGTATTATAATATAATATATATTTATTTATATATACAATATATATATATATATATTACTTATATATACTATAATATATACATATACTATACTTATATAATACATATATATATATACATTGTATATATATATATGTACATATACATATATATGTACATAATATATAGATATATAGTATATATATATTAGAATATACAATATAATATAACATATATATGTTATATATATATATATATATATATTATGAGTAATATATATATTATATTATAATATACACAACACACAAAATATAGATATATATATAATATATATACTTATATACGTATATATACATATACATATATACACCACAATATATACAATATATGATATATATATATATAATATATATAATATATAATATATAGTATATATTATATATATATATACTTATATACGTTATACATATACATATAACACACACAATATATAATATATGCATATATATTATATATATATATATATATATATATTATATATAATATATATAACATATATATACTTATATACGTATATATACATATACATTATAACACTCATAATATATACATATATGCATATATATATAT